TAACATTTATATAATCATAATTATTCCATGGTATTTTTGGTTGACCTGTGCCAAACAGTCGAACATATCCTATCGTTTTTTGCTTTGCTACCTCAACTGGCTCTAAGGGTTCTACTATACAATTGTTATTCGCTATAGTATCTTCCTGTGCTAACGTTATTAACGCTACCGATAATAAACCATAAAGGATAAAACCCGCAAACTTATTAAAAGGTGGTGATGAAAATAAGGAAGAATACATTTTTCGCATATTATTAAATGTATTATCAATGTTCATTTTCTCCTTTTAAGCAAAATAAAAATATTTTTAATGAAACGTTAAACGAAGACATTGCTTTGCTGATCTATCCTTATTTAAAGGGAAGTAATTACAATTAGATTATAACTTACAAAGTAATTTGTTGACCAATTATATTAGCAAATTTGAAATTAGAATTCAATTCTGCGAACTTTTAGGGAGATTTGTTACAGAAAGGGTCGGCAATGTATAGTTTTAGATATGAACATCACGTAAACATGCATCGATTTTATTGTTTTTATAATTTCGGCGTCAAATTCAACTTTATTTCAAAAGGAATATCCTCATTAGGGATGCTAATGGTCACGGTCATCGATCGGTCGACCGACCGGTTGACCGACTGACTTGAGATTGAATAATCATGTTTTAAATAGTAAAAACAATTTATCTTTTAATTATATATAGATTAAAAAAAATTAATTAAAGTTCGCGATAATGCTGCGCTAAATAAAATGGCAAAGTAGTTTAAAAATTGCCATGCTAGATTTATTAAATTTACTAAATTAAAACTTCTATTAAGCCAAAACTGCTCAATTATATCACTATTAACCGGTCGGTCGGTTAAAGGCTTTTGACCGACTGTTGACTGACCACGACCGACCGTTCCATCCCTAATAGATGATGGTAAAAGTGTAAAAGTCTATTCGAGTTAAAGTGTTGAGTTATTTGGTGTTGACGAGTGTTCAGTAAGACGGAAAGCATTAGAGTGATATACGAAAATGAGGATTTGAATATATCACGTGAAATGATCTACTCAAATGTATTTGCTAAATATAATATAGCAAATAATTATTGTATAATACGGACTTACCTTTTTGATAATTAAATAATTTTATCATTTTTTTTTTTTTTTATCCTATACATTTTAACGCGTTAATATACTAGAAACTTATGCCCAAACCTTATTTTTAAACCTGATGTATATTATTTTAGGAATGGTTCTATTAAAGGTCATGGCGGACATTTTTTGATGTGCATAGCAGATAGTTACTCCCAAAATCATGACTTACAATTTTTATTTTGATGTTAAATTAAAAAAAGTATCATACGCCATCTGCGTCTTACGATTCTTAAATTTAATGAAAAAATTGCGACTTACGTCGTTCTTTATGAATAACGAAGTATTTTAAATATTTGATTTCCAGAATTTGTTATATTTAAAACCCTTAATTAGAAATATATCTACCAGGATTAGTTAAAATCGATTTGTTCAAAAGTGCACTTTCTTCTTTATCAAAATTATTAAATTAAATTAATTGCATTATTATTATTCACTTTATTTGATAATGTTATCAAAGTTCACTTCCATATACAGACCCCGCCCAAAGTCTCCGGACGCCATCTTTCGGGCTTTTTTGTAATAATTACATCATGTGACTGTAGAAAATTGCGGCTATATAATGTTCTGGTCATTGTTTACTTAAATCAAACCAAATAAATACGTGTTTGGTTTGTTTATTTTGATTTTAGATCAAAATAAAATTTTA